GAGCGAGCGTGGCAAGGGAGGAGGATGAGGAGGAGGGGAGTAGAGGAGTAGAGGGCGGGGGGAGTTGGAAGGTGCGGAAGTGGATGGGAGAGGGGCAGCTCGACTGCCTAGGCCGAGAGGGGGAGAAGAGATGGGGCCCGGATGAGCGAGGTGAGGACTTCGATATGCGATCTGGGAGGCACTGCGCCGAGAGCACACTGAGCGAGTAAGGGATGCGAGAGCTCAGAATGAGGAGGGCAGTGGAGGTGAAGATGTGAAGCGACGACGACGACCGCCTGCAGCTCTGCCTTGAACATCTCTCTCAGGCGATACGCGGTCATGTGCAGAGTATGTTCTGGTGCGTGCACGAGCTCGCGTGCAGTGTCTCTCCTTTCGCTGCAGTCCACGTGTGCAGGGCTTTTGACTAGCAACAAGATCTTGAAAGGCATCTTATGGCACAAGCTGGATACCCGAAAGGCGAACGAACCTGCGACCATCATTGCCCCCTGTCTGACAGCGCGCGCAACCTTCGGGCGGTCGTCACTAGAGAGTGGTGCGATGAGATCATGCCACGCAGACGGCTGTATCAACCTGTCCACCTCTTTGCCGATTCTCTTGGCGTCCCCATATACGAGGCGAGCGAGGTTCTGCAATTCTCCCTGCGATAGGTGAGGAAGGAAACCCGCGCGCTACTCCCATTTGCGCCCCCCAGGGCCCCAGTCCGAGGGCAGTGAATGAAGGAATTGCGGGGCAGTGGGTTTTAGGGGGGGGGGGGCGGGAAACATGGGGCACGGGAGCAAGTGGGGCAGCGACGCTATTGTTTCCGCCCCCGAACCTCTGGCCTAACGGTCTGGACAAAGTGTAGTAGATGGTCTAGCGGACCTCGCAGCCGTTGCGACACCCTAACAGCGAGCCAAAATCGGTAGTCCCGGATGGCCCTCAAACTATCTTTTGCCCAGCGCCCCATTTGTTCCGTGTATGCTGCTTTGCTTTCTTTGTCCAGCTCGCTGATCCCTGACTTCGGATCCTCTAAGGCATCTCCTTCGCGGGCCACCCCCAGGGCAGCAGTGAACGCCTGGCGGATTTCAACTTCGGGGGCAGAGAGCAGAAATCGCTCGCAATCGCGGACGCTTCCCCACCGCCCTGTTATCGGCTTTGGCGGCACTCGGCCGCATCCGGCATTGATGGCTGCTTTGGCTGAGTACAGCGCCGTCCAAACGTTCAGGATTCTCACGGCGTGCGCCCGCCAAATGTGCATAACTTTAGCCAGGCTCGACCAGTAGTAGAATTCTCTCACCCCCACGCTCACTAGGAATGAGTCCATGAAAGACAATGTGTTTTTTACCATTAATTGGTATTGATGTGCGACGCAGTTGGCCTCAAACACCAATGTTGTCGGCTGTTGAGACAGTTTCGTGTGCAGCAATGCCCGAGCTTTGACCTCGTCGCTTCCAGCATCAGTACACGCGGCCCATATCTGCAGAACCCTGCCTTGGCCGTGCGAATCTCCGCCCTCCCCGGCTCCCGCAGCAGGTCCTGGAGCAGCGCCCGCAGCTGCGTCGAGATCGCCCCCAGCACCCGCAGCAGGTCCTGGAGCAGCGCCTGCAGCTGCATCGGGATCGTCGTCAAGGGCAGCCTTGCACCGCAGGCGGGAAGGGGAGGGCGTCGTCGCCGTCGACCTCGTCGTCGTCATCGGCGTCGTCTTGTGAGGGAGTATGCGTGCCCCCGTGGATGCAGACATACACTCGTGTTCATCTTCGTGGTCGTCTTCAGTATCGTCGTCGTCGCCGTCGACCTCGCTGTGACAGCGCGGTCGACGGCGACGCCGACACGCGCGACAACGAGTCGTTGTCGCGCGTGTCGTCGCCGTCGCCGGCGAGCGCAAACTGGCATATCCTGCTTTATCTTACCCCTGATGTCTGCTCATCTCCTCCTCCCCATCCTCATCATCTCACGTCGCCGCACGTGCCCTACTCCCCCTACCCCCCTACCCCGCATCCCCCTACGCTGCACCGGGCCCACGCGGCGCCTCGTCACCGCGCCCGTCGCCCAACGCGAGGGGCGGGTCCCGCGCCAGCGCTGGAATGTCCGAGGAAGCTCGGGTGTCCAGGCCCACAGAACACATCTGCTTCCGAATCAGCGCCAAGGCGTCAACACCTTGGGCGCCAGTCTCTGGCACAACCTGCAGCTCGCCGAGGATCTTGCGAGTGTGCACGCGCGACTTGAACACGTGGTACGAGTCGGCGCTGCGCACCGGCGCGCTCACGAAAGACGTCTCCGCTTCGGTCACGTGGAGTTTGCGCTTCTGCCACACCTCATGCGGCAGCAGGGTTAGAGGCGCGCGCGCTGGACCTATCTAGTAGATAGGACCACCATTGGGCAAGGTAGGTAGATAGGCTATCTACCTACCTTGCCCAATGGTGGCACGACAGCACTACGCTCTAGCACAACCCCCACGAAACCTAATGTTGGCGATCCCCCCACCTGGGCGTTTGTGGCGTCGCCACGCATGATGTGCATGACCATGCACCACCCCCTCTCCCCAAGGTCGTCAGCGCGGGCATCCTCAGCAAGCTTTGCCTCCATCGTGACGGCCTCATACGCCATCTGATAGCCAGATCGAAGGAATGCACGGAATGCCAAGATGCGAGTGGCTCGCAGTTTAGCAACCCACGTGTTGACAGTGTTGCTGCACACATCTGTTCCCAACGCTATGCCAAAGGCCTCCGATGCAGTGTTGCTCATGACAGCCCGCGCTGCAACTTGCAGCCCCCCTTGTGCACTAAAATATCTGCCTTCCTTGCCGCGCCTCCAGTTAGACAACTGCGCGGCGTCTTGAGCAAGTTCCAAGTCCCTCTCCTTCAAATCATATTTTTTAGCCAATCTGTAGTACTGCTGGTACGTCGCCTTTTTCTGCTTCGTCAGGGTCGCTATTCGGTCAGTTTGATTCTCAACTATCTTTTCGAGCTGATGGATTCGAGCTAATGCCTGTCTCAACTGCTCTGCCTCGCTAAGGGGGGGTGCGGCCTGGGCAGGGCCAGCAGCTGGCACGAGGGCGCCTGCCGCGGCGCCGTGAGCTGCTGCCGGGCCAGCCGCCACCAGCGCGCCTGGGACGGGGATGGGAGGAGCAATGAAGAGGAGGACGAGGAGAAGGAGGGGGGCGACGACGACGACGACGATGACGGCGATGACGACGACTACGAGGAGGCGGCGTTGACTCCGACGACTCAGAAGAAAGACAAGCGCGAGGTTGAACGATGTAACGATGGACAATGCTGGCCCTCGCTCCCCGAACCCCAGTGATCACGTCCCGCTTGCCGCCGCTTGCCTTGCGCCCTCGTGCTCAGTGCTCTCGGGCCCTCAAACTGAGGGACTCCCTCAACTCCTTCTCATCCGCATCATCCTCCATCATGTCTGCATTCCCCTCCTCCACGGGCCGACTCCACGGGTCTCTTCTAGCTCCTCTACCACACCTCCGCCTCCTCCTCCTCATCATCATCCCTTCACCTCCCCATCCATATGTGTCTCAGTTCTCCCCTCGTCGTTGCCGTCGTCGACCTTATTGCCATCCGTATCCTGCCCCGTCTTCATCCTCACCCTCCTGCTCCGCCGTTGCTGCTCCTCCCCGTTGTCCTCCGTCCCCCTCAAGACCCGCGGGCGAGACGGCCTGCGGCCGCGGCGCCAGGCGCTCCCGCCGCGCCCGGGAGCGCGAACCCGTTGTCGGCCAGCACCTGGTCGGTAGAAACAGTGATCATCCCATCCTCTTCTCCCTGCTGCCCCGCATGGACAGGCGCGCAAACACGACGCGAACATGCACGTGCGCGCGTGATGCTCGCGCACTTACAATCACGTGCATGGTCGCACACCGCCCCATCCAGCGCATGCTACCAGTCCGCTACATCTCAAATGCCTCCCTCATCCTTTCACCTCACCGATGCTCCTCTTCCTTACCTACCTCTCTACTCGAATCATCATCCTTTTCCTCTGACATCGTACTCAAAGCAAGCCAGGGCACCTCGCGCCACGCATCGGCCAACGCACCATTGCCCGACTGCCCGAAGATGTGGGTAACCACGTCGACGCGGTAAAGGTCAACCGAGTTGGGCACCCACCCCCATTTGCAATAAGATGCCAACCTTGCAGGAAGCAGGATACGGGAATAAGATATGATATATGGGAAACGAGAAGGAGGATGACCTGCGGGTAGTCCACGCTTGCTTGAAGCGGCACTCCGCCTGAAGCTGCAGAAGAAAAGCCTCAAGTCGAGATTCCTGGACCACCAGGTCGCCATTGTGAACGGTGAACGTCTGGAGGAACAAAAAGTTGAGCCGCCGCTTTAGCAGCGACATGCGCCAAAATGGCCCTCGAGCCAAGGTTCCGACAAGGCCGGACGACGACGACGAAGACGACGACGACGACGACCGACCGACTTGTCCCCTGGGTGGGTCCGCGGGGTAATGATGGAGCGCGGCGGCTCGCAACGTTTTCTCGATCCATGATCCATCCGCGGGGCCCCCCAGCGCCCCCCCCAGAAGCCTGTGGAGACATCCGAGAAATTACCCGACAGTTTTCGGCTGATCATCGGATCGGGGACGACGCGCGGGCAACGCACCTGTCGCAATACAATAGCAAGGCGTGGTTCACCAAATGCGGGGGGGCTTAATTTGATGTGTGAGCGCCCCATGCACGTTCGGAACATACGCGTGGTCTATCAATATATAACACACTACGTGCCATATTTAGCTAATGATGTACCCTACTTTATAATATACGGGCGCGATCTACAATTTATCGGGCGCGCTGACTTTGTAGTTATATCCCAGACATGTCGCTTGTTTTCTGGGAAACAATGCGAGAATTATATGTAGGCGAGCGCACATTACTAATGTAATGTCCCGAACGCATGCATTCATCGGGTGGGGGCGAGGCACCCCCGAGGGGTGGTCGACCCCCCCTCCCGACGACGCGCCCGAACTTCACCGTAGCACGCGGGAGCGGCCTACCCAAGGGCGGCGGGCTGCCAGAGGTCAGGACTGCCCGCGAGGCGCTCGATCTGCGCGCGATACTCCGCCACCGTGCTGGCCGCGAGAACCTGCCGCCCGGATAGAGAGCGATTCCCATGTTCCGCGATAGCGGCCGTTACTGGCCCTGGCCGCCCCCCCACCCTCCCCCCCAAGGTAACGCCACGACTCGTGCCGACCTCCAGGGTGTCTTCGGTCACTCCTAAACATACCCAAGCGGCGCCTGCGCGAAACGTGACGCCACTGGCTCCCCCCCGCTCCCCGCCCCCCCCCCCCTGGTCACGCCCGCTGACGCCTGGGAGTAAACAAAAAGCTCCCATGCGCGTCGGGGCGGGGCTGGAGGAGGCCCGAGGCTCGAGGGCAGAAGGGTCGAGGCAGATCGAGGATCGAGGAGGGCCGAGGATTGAGGCTCGAAGAGACACGAGGAGGCTCGAGTGCCGAGGGTGCTGGGCTGAAGAGCCATCACAACATCTGGCATGACCTCTCGGGGGGGGGGGGACAGATCTCCTGGGCCAGCGCTGGACAGGAGAACCGAGGAGGACCGATGAGATCGACGATCGAGGAGGCACGAAAGCGAGGCGGAAATGTCATACCTTATTTCGCAGTGCTAGTGCTAGTGCATATCTTCGAGGCGAGTGCTAGTGCATCTGTTCGGCGCCTCCAGGGTCCGAATAGATCCATATCCAGGGCCTGACGAGACCACGAACGAAGATCGATCCCTCACGCTGTGGGTATGGACATCCCCGCCACGGACGAGGAGACTCGAGGATGCTCGACAATCGAGGGTGCTGGAGAGAAGAACCATAACAAAATCTGGCACAAACTCTCAGGGTATTTCCAGGTCCCCTTGGGGCATCGTGGGGCCTCTCCGGGGGAACACGTCGGGAAAATACGGCGAGGGAAGTTCTATCGCCCTGGGATCGACTATACATCGTCGATGGGATCCCGATGCAAAAAACAATACCTTAAATTCGGTGGGGCTCCCTCCAACAGATCGTATGACTGGGCGATTTGGATCTCCCCCTGACACTTTCCTCCCGAACCACACATCGAGCAAACTGTGCAGCACGTAAGGTCCGCGAGGATTTCCTGGTTCGGCGATGGAGCCTTCACCACCACCCCTGGGCGGCGTCTGAGGCGCCGCTGCTGGGGAAGGGGTGTGGGCAGGGGCTCCAGCGTCGACCCAAAAAACCCGCCAGGGCCTCCGAACGTTCATGCTATGCCAGCCTAGTCTTTCTATGAGTCATCCCCGCACATCCTTGAAGAGGAAGGGATGCCGATTCACCCGGGAACACTCACGTCGTCCTTCAAGTGCATGCCCTCGGTCGCGGCCTCGGCAAGGGTTCCCCTGGCTCCTCAGCTCCCCCTTCTGGCCTGCGCCCAGCTGCTTCGCAATCCGTCCAACACTTGGCGCACTGACTTGCAGCAGCCGCCCGACCCGGCGGGGCATGGCCTTGCACAATCACTGGTGTCGTGGCCGCGTGGCGGACTCTCCTGGTCGCTCCTGTCACAACTGCCCCGTCAGCCACGGACCCCGCCGGCGGAGCTTCGTGCCTCGCGCGCCCCGCCCGGTTCCCGCCACGCCCGTCCACAGACGGACTCCCGCTCCTCCGCTGGAAGGACAGAGCCCAAGGACCCTGGCCAAGACTGAACGCGGAAATGTCAGTGTCGATCTTGGTCGCCATCCATCTTGGCCAGCGTCAATTCGTGGATCGTCATCGCGAATGGGCGATGGCCGGCATGGACTATAACCAAGATCGGCGTCGACAAAATCCCCCGACATCTTGGTCATGGTGTTCGGGCCGCAATGTGGCTCCCTGGCGGCCGTTCGGGACCATCCGGGCGACCCGGAAACGCCCTCTGGGACCACTCATCCGCAGAGTACGCCAGCACTTCCAGCAATAGAAGACGCCGCGCAGGATGCCGAACGAAGAAACTTGCAATGGAAAGGGGAAGGCAGCGGAAATGGAGGACGGGGAGCAAGTGTTGGCCCCTCCTCACTGTCAGACGCTTACCTTTTGTCTTTGACCGAGACTGAGGCATTTAGAGTCAACGGCAACACCGCCACAACGCGTGTTAGCATCTGAGTGGGCCACTTGGCCGAGCACCGCAGCGCCTGTGAGCACCACCGCGCCTATGAACACCACAATGCCTGTGAACAACGCCGCGCCTAGTAGGAACACGAGTCTCTGGCAACACCACGCCGACGGAAGCAAGCCTAGCCCACTCCCCTCCGCAAGCGGCAACAATAAATCATCCGGTGGGAGGGGACCCGCTAACTCGGGTCATCTCGCTCCCGTCCTGCCCTGACCCCCCTCCCCCTGTTCCCCATCAGGTGCCCCCAACCTTGCCCCTAGCGCGGAAAATTATCCCGTAAACCTCAGCATACTTTCCCCCCATCTCCCACTCCCCGCGTGCTCGGCAACCGCATCTGAACCCTACCTCAGCAAGACAGACTTGTGAAACACTGGCGGGACCTTGAAGGATGCATGTCGCCAGATGAATCCCAGCAAATGTGTATGAAACCCCAGCGTCGTGTGGACCCGCATGTGTAAGGTTCGCAAGTGACCGCGGAGCCACAATAACAAAACAAAGTAACAACTGCATAACCACAAACTTGCGAAGGCCCACGCGGATTTCTTGGGTCCGCGCTGGACCCCCTCATACACTCCTACCCCCGCGCGCGGAACGCGCTGGAGGCTGTGGGCGTGGAACAAGCCGGCTCAGCGCAGACCCTTCCTGTAGGCCTTCCACGACATTTTCTCTGGACCTAGCATGTTCGAAGTAGAACCACGCGCGCGCTTCGCGCGCGCTGAGGCTATTGCAGGCTCTAAGTAAGTGTAGTCTAGAGAGTTCGGCATCGGAGAATGTATATTGTCACGCGGTTCGTGCTCCTCAGGGTGCTCCCGCTACGGCCCCAGAGAAAAGCTTGGCTTAACGTCCCCCAGCCCATGTCGCAGCACCCCTCATTGGGATAGCGCCCCACAGGGAGCCCACCAAAGACAAGGTTCGCATACTGGCACGCCCCTCACGCGGATCGTGCCCCGCAAGTAACCGCACTTGCGGCACCAGAGGGAAGCTCCATAGCGTCGCCCCGCTCACTTCGGCGCACCTCCCACACGGATCGTGGCCCGCAAGGAGGTCCACGGACGGCCCCAGAAGCAAGGTTCGCATCCCGCCCACCCGCCTACTTCGATACACCTCTCACACGCATCGTGGCCCACTGAGATCTCCACTTACGGCCCCAGAGGCAAGGTTCGCACTGCGCCGCCCCCTGGCCATTGCGGCACACCCCATCACGCGGATCGTGCCCACAAGGAGCACCACCTAAATGCCCACAGACAAGGTTCATACAACGCCCCCCGTTCGTGTCGGCAAACCCGCTACGCAAATCATGCCCCAGGATGAGCTCCACTAATGGCACCAATACCCAGCTTCGCGCGGCGTCCCCCCGCCCATTTCGGAACATGCATCGCACGGGTCGTGTCCAGAGAAGGTCCACCTGCGTCTTGTGGGCGTGTTCGCGCGGGGGCATCCGAATTGTTGGGCACACCCTTCACGCGGTTCGTACCCCACCCAAGAATTCAACGCACAAGTGCACGCGTGTTCCGCAGCAACCGTTGTTCATTGTCCTGCGGCGCGCAGCGTATCAAGAGAGTCTAGCGTTGTGCGCTACACATGACTGCATAGGTATGGGTCCGTCGCCAAGCCAATGACTTGCTTATCTATGGCCTGCGGCCAATGCCGCTAGTGTGCCTGAGCTTTAGGCCAGGAGATTATTGGATATCTGTAATTCGGGGTAGCTTGGTAAGTATGTTTCTCGAGTGCCTCGCGGAGCGAGCTGTGAAACTTCTTGTGGCCTCATGTGGGCCAGATGAGGGCTTCTTGTGGTCCCCTTTGGGGCCTCCTGGGTGCTTGCTGCGGCCTCGGGAGCCCACTCGTGGTGGAGGGCTCGAAATGTCCAGAGTTCCTCCTCTTGCACTCCTCTTGGGGCCCTCTTCGACCGTGTTGGGTCTCTCTTGGCCGTCCTGGGACCCTCATGGAAGCCTGTTGAGCCATTTTGGGGCGACATGTGGGGCCTCTTGGGCCTTTTTTGTACGCTGCTAAAGCCAAACGAATACGCCAAAATTGCTCGCTCCCCCTAGAGAACGACGAAACAATCTTGGCCTCCTGGGGCCTTTTCGGGGCACACCCTGGAGCCTTATTAGGACGTGTTCGGTGCCTCTTGAGCCGTTCTGAAATAATAGCTTGGCGTCCACGGCCCTGGCCCCGGGCCCCCGATACCCCGGCATCGAATATTTGTGTGTATGTACTGATACATGCATACATACATACATGCATGCATGCATACATGCATGCATACATATACATACATACATCCCTTCTCGACTATTCTTATAATGGTTCCCCCCGTACATCACTTCGGCCCTGCGCGCTCTATGAGCCCTACAAGTCCTGTGAGCCCTATGAGCCCTCTGAGCTCTGTGAGCCCTGTCAGCCCTATGAGCCCTATGAGCCCTGTGAGCCTTATGATGCCTTTGAGCCCTATGAACCCTACGATCCCTGCGACCCCTGTGAGCCCTCTGAGCCTTACGAGCCCCATGAGCCCAATGATCCGTATGAGCCCCATAAGCCTATGAGCCCTTTGAGTCCACTGGGCCCTATGAGCCCTATGAGCCCCATGTGTCCTATGAGGCCGTTCAGCCCCATCAACCTTACGAGCCATGTGAGCCTTATGAGCCCTCTGAGCCCTATGAAACTTATGAGCCCTATGAGCCCTATGGGCCTGTGAGCGCGGTGACCCCAGTGAGCCCATGAGTTCGCTGAGCCCTATGAGGGCCTATGAGCCCTTCGAGCCCTTGAGCCCTTTGAGCCCTTTGAGCCCTTGAGCCCCTTGAGCCCCTATGACCCTATACACCTATGAGCCCTATAAACCTTATGAGCCCTATGAGACCTACGAGCCGTATGAACCATATAAACCCTATGAACCGTATGAGTCCTATGAGGCCTTAGAGCCCTATGAACCTTACGAGCCGTGTGAGCCCTGTGAGCCCTATGAAACTTATGAGCCCTATGAGCCCCTTGAGTCCTATGGCCCCCCTGGGTCCTCTCAACTATATGAGCCCTATGGGCCGGATGACCCCTGAGACCCTCATGAGCACTATGAGCCCGATGAATCATATGTGCCCTATAAGCCCCATGAATCCTATGTGCCCTATGGGCCCTATGGGTCCTATGAGTCCCTTGATCTCTCTGAGCCCGATGAAACTCATGAGCTCGTGTCATCTCAATGCGTTGCGTTTCCCTTGATCATCCTTCGCTATAGATCGCATGAGCGGCCAGTGCATATGGATCACCGCGGGGGGTCCAAATTCTGTTTCTGGCGGGTTACACAAGGATGTCGTTCGTGGCATATTGCAACAATAACTCCTGCTGTCGCACATCATTCAAGGCGCTGAAATAAGAAACGCGTTCTGCTCGGGAGGGGCTTCAATATCAAAGCCGCTCCTGGGGGCGATGTTGGGGAATCTGTGGTGTAGCAGTCGCGGTGCTCGCGCTGATGGTATCGGTGGCGCCGCAAACGGGCGATCGCCCCCGCCGCCGCCAGGATTGACGCGACTACAAACCTGCATCTCGAGTGTTAGCATGGTGCACCTACCGTATCCATCGGCAATTTTCATCGCCACCATATACACGGCCACCATCGCCACCATCAGTGAAACATTCAGGCATGGCCACCATCGACACCTCCCCCGGAGGCAGCGACATTCACGATCACCACAGCCATGATCATGACCAACACGACCACCTGAACCTGCAATGCCGTCGCAACCTTTTCAACTGTAGGATGCGCGATCCAAGCCCTGCCCCGTCATATTGTCTTACATTGTTCTGCCCAACTTGATGTGCCACCGCCGCCGCCGTCACAAACTGCACCGCCGCCAACGCCTGTCCCGCCATCACCGCGGCCAACTGGCATAATGATGACCATGACACTGGCGATGGTGATGCGGTGGCGGCCAAGGCGGTGTCGGTGATGTTGGCTGTCCAGCGGGTTGGTGCAGATTGTGGTGGCGGTGGCGTTAGTAACGCTGGTGAAAATAGTATTGTTGGTTCTTGGTGGCAGCCATGATGGCGGTGATTGTTCTAGTGATCCGATGGTACTCCTGGCGATGGTGATGGCGATGGTGGTGTTGTGGCGCGGGCGAGCCGGTAATTGCGATTGCGGCGGCAATGGCGGCGGTGACGTGTTGGGTTAAGTGGCGATGGCGCTGAAGGTGGTCGTGGAAGGAATGGTGGAACTGGCGGCGAACATGGCGGTGGCGCACGCG